CGGATTTCAAATCTATGGAGTGATTGACTGTGCTGCCCTTTTAGTCTGATTTTTAATGTTTTTATTTGGTTTTAATCAATTTTAGTTGGTTTTACGTGTTGTTTTTACCTGTGTCTGTAAGCTGCTATATAAATAAAGCTTGAGTCGAGTTAGTAATTGAAAAAGTTGTTTTAAAGATATTTTTAAAGTGGACTATTAGCTTCTAATTCATCGTTAGCGTTGTTAGCTTAATGTTAGCCTCTAGTCGGCTTCACTTAATTTTAGAGTAAAACAGAAAGATGCCATTGCCTCTTAGAGCTACAAGAAATAACTAATAGGTTGCTTCAGTTTACTGGCTTCAGTTCTTTTAATAACTCTGGAGCTTTTTGCCTTCTGGGGTCAAATTACAAATGCGTGCAGTGTTCTCTCGCTGCAGATTTGGCAACCTCACAAACTGTCAAGAGTGTAAAGAGTAACTATGCACCGCTTTAGTTTTTCTCAGAAGAATAGAAACTGAGCACCTGCCAGCCAGCTGAGAATGACATCTATTTTAATGTAACCATTCCTTTTCACGACTGAGACATTACTGTTTTGTGACTATTTCAGAGTAGAGTTCTTATAGTTCCCGAGCGCAGCCACTGCTCCCCACAGGGATGGGTCAGATGCAGATATGTAAACTCACTAGTGTGTGATGATGACTAATGGGACTTTAACTTTAAACCCAACATGTGTTTTGTGCACAGATGAAGCATGACACCAGTGGGATATCTGTTAATTTATTTACAGAAAGCCAAAGCTTAGTGTCTTTAGACTGGTCAGTGATTATATGTCAAAAGCAGAAGTTGCACCGCGTTAAACTGCGATAAACAGGTGGATGCACGCAGATCTAGACAGCCAGGACTTTGCTGTTGTCTGCTCTAGGCTGGTTGCTCTAAGGACCTCCAACCCTCAGCCTGGAACAGCAGGAACCTCAATCAGGTAGCCCCCCCAAAAAATAACAAAGGAACCCTTTAGTCACATTGATAGATGGGCTGGTTCTCAGTACTCAGCAGAAAACAGTGTTGACCAGTTGTAAGTAATCAGAATAGTAGGTCTTGTTTCCTTTTCACGGACTACCTGTACTGTTTAGTGAAAAGCAGTTGGACTACAGGGAGCCTATAAGTCACATCCATCTACATCCAGACCACGGGTCCCCGCAAGAATGAAGAAATATCTGCAAGTCAACGGGCCAAAAACACTCATTCTTAATCCCGTTTGTTGTGTTCTATGGATTTCACATATGGCGCCAGTGAATTTTAAAGACGCATTCTGATGCTAAGAAGAAGCTTATTTCTGAATGGGGACTAAAGTTATTATAGGTTGTGTGTGAAAATACGTCCAGGACTGCAAATGCACATCACCAAAGTGATGCCATGTGCCAAGTAGCAGCTACGCTAGGGCAGGGGAGATTGCGATGTGCCGACATGCTAATTACGAATTTTTACAAGCTGATACATTTCTAAGTACGTGACTGGCGCCATCTCAATACTTTATTTACAATCAGTACTTTTCATTTTAGTTGAAGAACAACATAAGTGTGACCCGGGCGTAAGACAAAGATTAGAAAATAGCTTTTAGCGCCGCTGACTTGCATTCATTTTTTCGATCTTCCAGGGACCCATGAGCCGACCGGAGGGGAAGGGGACTTGGGCTCCTTGTGGTTATGTTCGAGAACAGCTGAGCTCATGGCTCTGACTGGAACTTTGTAGAACTTTAGATCAAAAAGAAATTAAGAAACCAAAGAATCTGGAATTAAATCCTTACTTAGTTCCTGTCCGACAGCATCCACGGGCATTAATCTCATCAACCCTTACACAACTTTGCTTTTAATAAATGACTGTTTGGTTTTCCATTCGGGTGGTCTGGTTGCACTTCTACCAGTTCATTCTGCAGGACACCAGCGCCGATGCTTTAAGGTGTTGAAAGTGACTCGTTAATTCACATCTTTCTCTGTAATTGTCATAAAAAGTTCATTTAGAGGCATCCATCCCTCTCAGGGTCAAAGGGAGCCGGTGTCCAGATGAGAGGCTACATCAGACCAAGTCACCATGTCACGACAGAATCGAGTTAGAGTCTAGTTAACCTGTTGTGAAAGCTATTGATCTACTGCAGGAAACTGGTGCAACCCACACTGCACACTGGGCAAACGTGAACTCCACTTAGAGGGCACACATGAAAAGCTAGTGTTTGTATTTAGTGAAACGGAGAATCATTAAGGTAGCTAACAAAAGGGCCGTCCGACAGCAGCAGCAGGCTGAGCTTTCAACAGAAATCACTTTTTATTCTTTGTTCCCAAAAAAATAAAACCAACCAGAGGTCCACCAGAACACAGGAAGGCAGACTAGAACGTTTTACAGGTTCTTCCGTTGTTCCTAGCAACATACCAAAAACTCAGCCACTGCACTTTTTAAGAACGTTACTTTAGCAACTCCAATTTTATATCTTATTTTTTAACCGACTTTTGATATTTCACAAGGAAACGTGACGATGAACCCAACTTTTAGACGTGGGCGTGACATTTGAAGGTCTGCTGAATACCTTCACCTGCTCGCAGGTATCAAAAAGCCAAGAGGCCCTGGGAGCCCCAAGGTCAGCCATAAACCCTGGAGGCCACCTAGAGTTTGAATATGTTGGTCTCTGAGATGCAGGAAAGGGCGGTGCTTCTGAATAACTAACGCAGCTGTTACCTGATGAGCAGATGTTTTGTGCACCAGCAGCAACACAACCACCACGTGACAGACTGCTACGGCTTTGCACAGGGGGTCCGATGTTGAGCGCAACACCTCTAGCTAGCTCGAATGCTGGGTAGCCACCAGCTGATAAACATTTACTGACATTATGTACACCGTCAGCCCTCTGTGGGATAATACATTTATATTCATGTTAATATCTTTAGTCGTTTTTTCCAACATGTTGAAAATGGTTCCTGCTTGGTTCAGCTTAGTTTTCTACTGGGACAGAAACGTAAAATTGGACTTCTCAGAAGTAATTTTGCGTCTGATCTGAGGAGTCAGAGCTGCTCCTCCCTCTCCGGTTTCACCATCAGGGGTCACATGTGGACCAGGAGCCTTGGCAAGCCTCGGCCGAGAGGGCAGAGGGCGTCACCCGGTAACTAGCTTGTAACAGCTAGGCCCTCGCTCAAGTTAAAACGCTGTTAATCTGTCTGAATGGTGAAACCTCTTGAATTCAGCGCTGAAATGTCTTAAATAGAGCAAAAACATCCAAGTCCAGCTGTCCTCAGTCTGAAGCCGCCAGGGTCACGGCGGCCTGGCCGACGCAGATCCTTCAGCGGTACCACAAACACAGTCAGCACGCGTGAACGGAGGGTAGTGTGTGTGTGTAGGTGTGGTGGTAGCAGCTGTCGTGGAGAGGTTACAGCACCGGCATGCAGCGGTGGCTCTTGTACGTGCCAAGATGGCGGAAGCTGCGTCCACACTGTTGGCAGCAGTAAGGCGTAGCCCCACTGTGGATCCTCTGGTGGGTGTACATGTTTCCCAGCTCTTTAAAGCGCCGGCCACACTGGGGGCACGCGTATGGGCTTTCACCGGTGTGCACCCGCTGGTGTCTCTTGAGACCCGACAGCACAGAGAAGCCCTTTCCACACTGTGGGCAGGGAAACGGGCTCTGGGCGCCGCTGTGCACCAGCCTGTGGCTCTTCAAACGGGCAGCATGGCGGAATCTCTCCCCACACTCGGGACATATGAAAGGCTTCTCTCCGGTGTGAATGCGCTGGTGCTGCCGAAGGTTGCCTAGATAGTTAAAATGGCGGCCACAGTCCGCACATTCATATCCACCCTCCACTTTTAACTCCTTCTTCTGGCCACTGCCGGCAGGAGAGCCCGATCCAAGGTCGTCCTCGTTGGGCCCCCTTGCCGCCTGTGTGGGCTCAGTCCTGATATCCTGCAGGCTCTTCAGAGCTTGGATACTATCGACATCTGAGTGTATCAGTTTGATGTGCTCCTCCAGGAACAAGGAGTCAGGGCAGAAGGTTCCACACAGTGAGCAGATGTAGGTGTGGCTGGGAAACTGCTGCCCTGAAACGAGAAACCTAGTGATAAGTTCAGAAACAGATCAGTGCATCTCTGATCGTACGACACAAAGATGTTGTAGTTTGGATTTAACTGAAATAGTTCGTTTTAATTCCCAGTGAAAAGGAGAGATTTCTGTTGATGGGTTTTAGCAACAGATATCGCTGACAGTGCGGACGACTGTTGGAGCGAAACCTTTAAACAAGTAAAAGATGGCAGCTCAGCAAATCGCTGTTGAGCAAAGCTCTTCTTTCGTGACAGATTATTGGTTAGTAGCCGCCGGCGGTTACACACACAGGCAGTGAATCATCTCTGGAGTCTTGCATTAGATCAGAATCTAGACGTTTTATTTGAAATAACAAAACATCTACAGTGTTTCACATAGGGATGCACCGATACGATACGGGTATCGGTAAAAGTTAACCGATACAATGCAGTTGCTTGAAAATGGTCGTCGTCTTCCTCCGCTTATCCGGGTCAGGGTCACGGGGGCAGCATCCCAACTAGGGAGCTCCAGACCGTCCTCTCCCCGGCCACCTCCACCAGCTCCTCCGGCAGGACCCCAAGGCGTTCCCGGACCAGATTGGAGATGTAACCTCTCCCAACGTGTCCTGGGTCGACCCGGGGGCCTCCTGCCGGCAGGACATGCCCGAAACACCTCCCCAGGGAGACGTCCAGGAGGCATCCTGACCAGATGCCCAAACCACCTCAACTGACTCCTTTCGATCCGGAGGAGCAGCGGTTCTACTCCGAGTCCCTCCCGAATGTCCGAGCTCCTCACCCTATCTCTAAGGCTGAGCCCGACCACCCTACGGAGGAAACTCATTTTGGCCGCTTGTATCCGCGATCTCGTTCTTTCGGTCATTACCCAAAGCTCATGACCATAGGTGAGGATTGGGACGTAGATCGACCGGTAAATCGAGAGCCTGGCTTTCTGGCTCAGCTCCCTCTTCACCACGATAGATCGGCTCAGCGTCCGCCGAACCAATCCGCCTGTCGATCTCCCGATCCCTCCTACCCTCACTCGTGAACAAGACCCCGAGATACTTAAACTCCTCCACTTGAGGTAGGACCTCTCCCCCGACCCGGAGTTGGCAAGCCACCCTTTTCCGGTCGAGAACCGTGGTCTCAGATTTGGAGGTGCTGAAAATGGCTTCACTGTAACTTGTCATTTCTGTTCACCTAATATTTTAGTTTTGTGATGATTTTTATTCATATATTTTACTTTTTATCTACCTCACAGTCTTTTCCTGTTGAAAGCAGAGAAGAAAATAAAATCTGTATTCCAAATCATTGCATTTTTTGTGTGGTAGAAGTATCGGTAATCGGTATCAGCGAATATTCAGATTCAAGTATTGGTATCGTATCGGTTTGGGAAAAAGTGGTATCGTTGCATCCCTAGTTTCACACCCTGTGTGCAGATGGATCCTTACCCCCCATAGCCTTGTCTGTGCCGTCCTCCAGGGAGCTTCGTCCCTCCTCCGGAGAGCTCTGCGGTTCAGCAGGGAACTCAGAGGGCTGGTGGTGGGACAGCAACCCCTGGGTCTCCTGCAAGTCTCCCTCCTCCTTGGTGCACAGCTCATCTTCATCTCCATCCTCCTCCTCCTCCAGATCACTGGTATGAGGGTCTTCACCTTTAGGCTCTTTAAGGACTAACACACAACACAACAGACATGATCATTGAGTCTCACACCGGTCATGGTGGAGTTGTCTGTCTCTCTCTCTCACTCACTCACGCACTCACTCACTCACTCACTCATTACCCTTCAGCTCTGACGAATACGGAACCATCCACTCGTAGTCATACATTCTTTTGCTACCAGAAGGAATCATTCCGAAAATGTCCTCGGGGGTTCCGTCCGGGTCCGTGTGCCCAGGCCCGGAACCAGCCACCCCACTGTCCGACCACAGGGAGAGAGAGTGCGGTTCTGATTCGTCTGGCTCGTCTTTGTGACCCACATCGAGGCTAACCTGTTCTCCGTCAGTTTCTACACAACCTTTAGAGTTTTTATCTTTCATCAGATAGTCGCAGATCGCGTCTATGTTCTCTTTCTTCACGCCAGGAACCACATTTCTGCTTTTCCTGGGGTCGGCGCTGCTGTGTTTGGCTCCGCAGCTAAAGTCGTGTTTCTTGCAGCCAGCCTCCGCAGAAGGCTCTTCGGTGGCTGGGCTGGGGCTCGGGTCTTTAGCGTCCCTCTGGTCTCGGTCTAGTCTGGCTTTTAGCACTTCTATCTCCCGTGTTTTGTCTCGGAGCTCCATCTTCAGCACGCGGATCCGAATGCTGACCATTTTGCGGATCTCAGACAGCGCTGTCTCCAGGATCACCGTGATGTTTCTGCCCAAGTGCTCCGTGATGTCACTGACCGAACAGAGGAGCTCATCTTCGGTTTCCAAGTCCAAGAAATCATCGTCTGCTCGAACCGCTGATCCCGGGAATTCCATTAGTCCTCTGTGGAAGTCAGATCTGGTTTCAAAACTAAATCGGCTTCTTTTCCGACTCATAGATGATGCTGGAGCGGGTTCGGCTAGCTAGCTGCTAGCTGAGAGCTACTCGGTGACCCGAGATGAAACACCGGAGGTGGAGCAGATGAAGCCGGATGTGACGTCTTACACTAATCGCACAACAAGCTCTTTTGTCCCACCCTTCTCGCGATAGTTCGCGCCTCTGTACAGTCTATGCTCTCGGCATTAACGCTCCTTATCCAGCTGGGAGATGTAGAGAGTTTCCAAACTGCAGCTTTTAATCAGACTAGAGCGGCTATGTCTCCGTGATAAAGCCCCGGATTCAACACCCACACTTTAATGTTATAATAACCCACAAAACGCGTGAAAATATAGAATTTTTTAGCAGTAATACAGCGCCGTGGCTATTGTGGCATTATTCCACCAGCAGGTGTCACTATAAGCACCAAAGCTAGTTAGCTTTGACTGGTTATCACAGCAGCTAAGCACCCTGCTGCAGAAAAATGTTTAATCTTGTAACAATGTTTTTACTTTGTGATATAAGTGCCTCTTTTTAAGTTTCTTATTTGTTTTTCTTTTATTGTTTCTAAGGATGCCTTGTATGTTTCCATTATGTGTTGTTGCCTCATGAGAAACTGTAATAAGCATTTAATGATAATAAAAATAAAATAAAACTCTGTCCGGGGTTAACTGGGCCTGGAGGACCCCTGACTGGTGGGACTTTATCATCATCATAACACAGAACCATGTAAACATTCACAGCATCACATGAAAACTGCCCAGAAACATGAATATTGACACGCTCACTTCCTCAGTCAATCTTAATGGACTCTTAAACACATTCATACAGAGGTAATGAAAAGTTTGGCTGCAGCCCTGAACAAAGTCCGGTGTTTGTTAGAGTCACAACAGCAGAGTTGCTGAGTGTGTTCCTGGTGAAGTTCAGAGGAAGTTCTGGATCAGACACAAACGTGCTGACAGGAAGCTGCTGGAGAGATCCGCCAAAAACGGGCTTTAGTGAGGATTTAAACAACATTTCAAAGACAAACTGACTGCAGGGTGAGCTAAAGGCTTACATGCAAAAAGCACTGAAAATTATCTCTCTCACTCGTGTGTGTGTGTGTGTGTGTGTGTGTGTCCACTACTGCAGAAGAAGTTCTAGGTTTTTAACATAATGGCTAATGTAGTTTATTGAGCTACAGGGAAAATCCATTACAGTTACACAGGTTGCATTCATTTGGAACAGGCCACCCAAGTTAAATATGAGGAAACAGATCAAATTAAACATCTGCCGAAGACTTCTAAAGGGACGAATGACAGAATAAAAGGGAGAGTAAAATGTGGGAACTATGAAAGCAAAAAGCACAAAAGAAACAATCGGATGCTTTTGAACTATTAATCTAATAGAGTTTAACAGAGCTTAAGCTGTACTGTGGTTGAAACTTGACCCTGTCAAATTAAACAAACAAACAAACAAACAAGAGCAGAACTCGTCACCATAAAATCCAAGCTAAGCAGCAATTTTTTTCTTTTGAAACTTATTTTGAAATGAACTCCGGAAAAAGCTGCGCTTTTATTTCTGCAGGAGGAAGTCAGTTTTCCGTCATGTAAAAAGTTCACAGCTCAACGGAGCACATCCAGCCAGGTCGGACCGCTGATTACCGGTACCGGACAGAGTCGTGCGGGCCATCGCCACAGACGGGTGACCGAAAAGCATAATGGGTAATGCATATCTATCCAGTCTCATCACACCGGATGTGTTTAGGTGTTTGTTGTTTCATTATTTATCCGGTTATTATTGGAAAAACAGTTTTTTTTGTCTGAACTTCTATTTTTATGTATTCGATCCTTTAAACAGTTTGAATGACAACATTTCAGATAGTTTGATTTCCTGGTTGTGTTTGTTGTTGTTTTTACACTAAGTACCAGATCCAGACAGGTCTTGTTGTGTTTTCCACACGTTGAGCTGTCCTTCCGTTTTCTTTGTGATGTTTAATCTGGTCACTTCTTAACCCTGGCAGCGAATCCAGAGGAGTCTGGTTAACATCACCTCACTGAGCGTTAGTGATGAAGTACCTGAAATTCATCTCAGGCATTCGTGGGACATTCCTCAACATGATGTGTGTGTGTGTGCGCGCGCCCGTATGTGTATGTGTGTGCATGTGTGTGCATGTGTGCGTGCGTGTGTGTGCATATGTGTGTGTGTGCGTGTGTGTTTGTGTGTATGCGTGTGTGTGTGTGTGTATGTGTGTGTGTGGGTATGTGTGCATGTGTGCGTGCGCGTGCCCGTGTGTGTGCATGTGTGCGTGCGTGTGTGCATATGTGTGTGTGTGCGCGCGCGTGTGTATGTGTGTACGTGTATGTGTGTGTGCGTGCGTGTGCGTACGTGTGTGTATGTTTGTGCGTGTGTGTGCGTGTGTGTATGTGTGTGTGCGGCTTGTGCATGTGGACACAGCTGGTTTGTTTTGTACTGTTATTAATCGCTCTGTGTGAATTTTTTTGTGTTTTTGTTTTTATTTGAAACAGCTGCAAGTGTGTCTACAGATGCTTCCTGTCCAAAGGGAACGCTGTCCTCGTGTGAAGAACGTTTCTCTCCAGGTATTACCTTTCTTTTCCTTTCACTCCAGAGTTTAGAAGAGATGTGGAAATCCTGCTGGCTCCTTAGCTGAACTTTATTTTCTAAATGCAATTTTACTAAAGAGCAAGTCACCCCCTACCAGAGTCTAACTCCACTCCCACTTCATGTTTGAAAAATGCAACAAATGACATTGCCTGGCAGACCGAGAGGGCGGAGCCGCTAACAAATAAACACACACACACAGGCTCACGACAGCATTGTGACATCATAATGTACCAGTTTACATCATAGCATACCTCTTAGCCAATAGCGGTGGCAGATTTAAATTAAAATACAGTGCAGAGTTTTTACCTGACAACGGCACAACACTGACAGTTTTAGGCAGAAAATTATTGACGACACGTGTCTGTAGCACGATTAGACACTCGGTTATTTAGTTTATCAGCAAAAAAAAGTTTATTTGGGGGTGACTTGCTCTTTAAGGCCACAGATTAAATCCACCCCAGGGGACAATGTAAGAGCATCGGAATGAACTCTTCTGGAACAGCAGTCACATGGAGGAGGATCATGTATCAGCTCTAATTGTAAAGTGGACTTTCCGTTCTGGTCTGGTGGCCATTAGAAATAACCTGCTGACAGACAGCTGATGTTATTATAAATGATTAACCAAAACTAGACACAACTTTCCTGACCTGTTAAAGGTTAGTGACGCCTTTAAATATTCATCTGTAACGAGCAAGTCAGAGCACAAAACATGATTATACAGAAAGTTGTGGAAATCCTCAGAGGTTGCTCGGATTGGATCTCACAGCCTCTTTAAGGTCACAACAAGCCAACGGTCAACAAAACACACAGTTTTGGGTTAGTTAAACATTATTGTAAATGTTTTCATATATCTGTGTAATTACCAGCCCTGATTGTAGGACAGTATGAGCGGCATGACCAAGATGGAGAATAACAGAAGATGTTTCCTGAACCCATCATTTCCTCTGTTGTCACTGATTAAACTCTGAGCCTCCACTGCTTGCTGCCCTTTGGTCTGTCTCAGGTTTTAAAGGATGTGTGTTACAATCCAAGTCAAACATTACATTTTAGTGATGTTAAATATGAAGACCACAATATTTTCATCCAAGTCGATTCCCTATGCCTCGCTTCATTAGCTGTAGGGATGTGTATTGGTGAAATTCTGGCGATACAATACGTATTACAATACAGGGGAGACGATACAATACATCACAATATATTGCGATACATTCAGTCAGACGATATTGGTGATTTTTTTAGACTAAATCTGTTATAGGAAAATTCAATAAACTGTCCAAACTGATACTTAACATGTTTAACCATAACAGAGGGATTTACATTTCAATGGTAGAAACAAAACCCATTACACACTGCTGCCACCTAGTGGTCAGCGTTTGAATTGCACCTCAAGAAAAGAAAATACACAAATGTTTCCATGTAAATTCTTCCAAAAATTAGATACACGACTTTTGAATATCAATACATTTTTGCAAGAAAATATATCATGATATATTGTGATATCGATATTTTTGATACACAGCTTTTAAATATCGATATAATATCGCTGGGGAAAATATCACAATATATTGTGGTATCGATATTTTCGATACACAGCTTTTGAATATCGATATAATATCGCTGGGGAAAATATCACGATATATTGCCATAATCAACATTTTCTTACATCCCTAATTAGCTGTAGCTCGACATTTGGGTGTGGTACTCAATGACCAGTGGACCTTTAAAGTGACAAAGTCTAGTTTTTTTTTACCATTAATATCCATAGGAATGTTATTGTAAAGAAATTAAAAGATGCCCAGTTGATGAAAAATTTAGGCAGTTTCATAACATTTAACCATAAAAATCTGTTCTAAAATACATGGAGCGGGTCTGAGGGTGTTTCTCAATGCCAAGGAACCTCGCCTTGATGTCTTGGCCCTGTCCCGGTTGCCTGGGAGATACTTCTTTAGGAACCGCCAAAACGTGTTCCAGTGTTCATATTCTACCGAGGCATGTGTTCTCCGTTTGCTAGCCGTTAGCTAGCTGAGGAAGGATACATGGGAGATGTCTTGAAGCCTAGCCTTGGTAAAAAAAATTACCCAGAATACACAGCAGTATTTTCAAAAGGATGGAGAATCAGAAGCTGGCAGCTACTTTGGGGGTAAATTTCAAGTTTCAAAGTAAAGCAACCAATTTAAAATGTTTTTATCTATGGTTGGTAACTCCTGGTGGTCTTTGGTCATCTCCCAGCTTGACTGCAATGTCCTTCTCTCCAACCTCTACACATGGTCCAGAACTCGGCAGTGCAGCTGGTCTTCAGCCAGCCTAAACGAGCACACATCACCCCTCTCTTTATTGAGCTACCTCGGCTGCCTTTAACCTCCTAAATAAAATTCAAGTCACTGATGTTAGCACACTTTATCTTGAATAATATGGCTCCCATCTACTTCAGTCATGCAATGTTGTCAGCTGCACGCCACCTGGTGGTGAGTTGGATCAGTTCGCAGGAGAGGATGCCACATAGATGTCTTTGCTATTGTTACATTCTGCTTTGATATTCTTGAGTGGCTGAGGCGGCCATGACAAACTGTGAGTAACAGTGAGAAATCTGCAGTAACCTTTCAACCCTCCAGTGGACACCAGAGGTTACGGGAGTCTGCAGGCTGAAGAATGGTGGAAGGAGTACTTTAAAGAGCTCCTTGGTCTCATGACGCGTATTACAGTCTGGAACCAGTTGGGAGACCAACAAATAGATATATGAACAATCTCTGGGCAGAGATCGCCACAGTAGTGGAACATCTTAACTTGCGCTGGTAAATTACTGGTCAATCTACGTTAAACCCCAAACTATTACCATGAGCACACAGGTAGTAACAGGTAACAGGTAGGTAAATGACTTTCACCTGCAGGGTGACTGGGCTCAGCATTAGAGATGGGGTCATGGACAAGCAAGATGAATTTGGAATAGCCTATTAGTGCAGTAGTCTCGTCATTCCAGGAGGAGACCCTTGGGCAGACCCAGGATGTCCTGGAGGGACAGGCTGAACTGAAACGTAGTGGGGTCCCACCAAAGAAGCTGGTGGAAGGGAGAAGATAGTCTTGGCTTCTTTGTTGGGCCTGCTGTCCCAGCAACCCTAACCTGGTTCATTAGACAAAGATGAAGCAAGACTAGTTAACAAATCCATCTAACCAACAGCTTCTGAATGAAACTTTAAATCCTCAGAATCAGCAGGAGGTTTTAAACTTTCTGGCCTGTATTTATCTTTTCTTTCTGTTAAAGCTGTACGTGATATGAGTTTATCTTTACGGTGTACAAACAGCTTTATTTCACTCAACAGGGCATTCTGCAGCTCAGCTCAGTCGACACTGAGTAAAGACTTCCAAGTGACCCCCGACATCACATAAGAACCTCTTTATGTACCCTGTGAGCTATGAAATGATTTATTTTGAAGTAGTGCTTATTGCATGGTACACTTTACAGCATTAGCAAATGAATCCTAAGGACGCACCTTTTAAAGACTCCTAAGCTGGCACACGTGCTGCAGCACGAGCTGGTTTTTGTATTACGTGAGTCTAAAATAAAACATGCAAAAAAAGAGTTTAAAAGTCATTGTTGTCATTGTTAAAATGCTCCTGTCCTGTTTTGTGTTCAGTTCTTCCTGTGCAACTGACAATAGTCAAAGGTCCCTCTCATCTTCCTGCTGATGAAGAGTTACAGGAAAAGTTCAAAGGGAAATTATGCCTCCTGCAGTATGAAAACGCTGAAATCAACGAGCTTTTTATGGTGAAACACACACACACACACACACACACACACACACACACACACACACACACACACACACACACACACACACACACACACACACACACACACACACACACACACACACACACACACACACACACACACACACACACACACACACACACACACACACACACACACACACACACACACACACACACACACACACACACACACACACACACACACACACACATTCAGTATCTTGAACATTAGCTTTTTAAAGAATTGCTGTGGTAGTTAAAGCAATGGCCCAGATGACCTGAGAGTTAAAGGGACTTAATGGAGTTTTGAATTTTTATGCTCGCGATTGCCCCCTCAGGCCAAAAGCGTAACAGCAGCTTCAATAGTAGGCTCGTGCACGAGGCGCGCATGCTGTACGTGCACACTCCTTAACGAAATAACAGCTGAGACAGTCCCTTGTCTGTGTGTGTGTGGGTGGGGGGGAGGGGGGGGGGACAGAGGACAGGAGAACGAGCAGCTAATTAATTAATTTGGGCAGACCCAGGATGTCCTAATTTAGTTCTGTACCTTTCTCTTCAGCACAGCAGACAAAGGTTTATGATGGGTCAGTCCTCCTGCATGCTCAGATCATTCCCTTCCATTGCTTGAAAAATTGTTCCAAAATGAAAGTTGAACCCACATCTTTTTTATCTGTGAATTCAATGCCCTTTGGCGAGTCTCAAATAAAAATTTGGGCATCTTACTGTAAAAAAATATACCATTAATGTAAAAAGAAACTCCAAATAAACTATATTCACACCCAGAATCAAACTTAGGTCTACTGAGTCCAACGTCTTACTAGGTGAGCTAAAATGCCAGTGACATCCTTTGTATCTGTAACATTTACATCCTTGATGACAGCTGAAACAAAGTTCACAGAACGGTTTGGAGCGAAAATGGCTATTTTGTTGCTAATTTGCAGGAAATATCTAGAAGAAAGTTCTACAGAAAGTAGCTAAAGCTTGGTTTATGCGTGACGCTTTTACTTTCCGCTTGGTGATGCGGCTCGCGGATGGAACGTGCTTCACAACTTGCAGCGTTTATGGTTCATGCGGCTTGTCTCTGCGGTGAGCCAATATTCTCCCAAACTGTAGGGGGCAGCATGGAGCTCTATGGCATGCATCCAACATTAAACCGTAGTAGAAGTAAAAATTACTGTTGTTTACAACATGGCATTCCAGCATTTTTTAACAGCGTCCTCGTCTTTTCCGACAGTGCGAGCCATTTCTCTCCGAGAATTACTAACAACATGTTGATCACGGTGATCTTTGAGAGCTGAATCTTACAAATGTCTGTATTTATGAACCTCTGCCATTCTTGCCAGTCCGCCATGTTTTTCCGCGTCCGACCGTCCGCTTGGTTAGAAAATTTCCTAGGTGAGCGATGCGGAAATTTTGGGCCGTGCGGAGGCGCGGTGGAGGGGCGTGGTTGTTAAAATGACACAATTTTGCTGCGCGGAGCCGTGCGGACCTCGTGGACGCGTCAAGCTTAAACCAAGCTTAAGGGTCCTCAGAAATGTAGCTAGCTTTGTCACTAGGCGTTAGGAACAGCGACAAAGTGGCACTGCCTCTCTCTCTGCTGCTAAAGCTACTGATAGCAAATGCTACGGGCGATGCCTGAGCGTGAACGCGCATGAAGCAGCCTGCTCGACCCGAGCATCTCTCTTTTTCTGTGATTTTACAGAAAAACAGGCAATCACAGTAAAAATGCCAGGGCTCATTCTACAGGACCAGGGCATTGCAGGAGAATGTATGAAGAAGACATTTATTATTTCTATACATGTTTTGGCTGTCAAACTTCCATAATGTCCCTTTAACTTTTGCCACTTTTCAAGTTGTTTTGGTTGCTAACGTTAGCTTTTCTGTCCCAGCATCTGATTCACAGAACAAATAAATCTAAAAACAATAAAGCCCAAACCACAGCAATAATATTTTGCAGTGAAGATTTTTTGCTGTTGAGGAAAATGATTGAAACTTTTCTGAAACCTTTTTTATAGGAACTGTGCACTCACCTTGTCTCTGTTGACAGTGAAGCAAAAACCATTTTTGTGACATTCAAAACATTCGAGGAAATATGGAAATTCACCACTTATTACAAATTAGGTATGGAGCACTTTAAATAATCCATTTTCTTCAGTAATGTTCCTTTCCCACTAGCACCTAATCAGGGTGGCTCAACTCAGCTCGACCCTACACGGTTTAGGTGGTTTTCTAATTGAGAAACGTGAGGGTAGGCTAGTCATAGCAGGATGGCCCACGTTAAAAAAGTAATGCAAGGTGTTCTGTACTCACCACAAACACAATGCAACATGATTGTCGCGTTGCAGAGTTGGTAGGTCCCAAAATGCAGTACCCAGGATGACACGAGGCAGGGATGAAGATTAAGTAAAATCCTTTATTTAAAGGTGAGCCAAAAACAAAGTGAATCCAGGGCTGGGAGCCAAAATCCAAAAACCAGATAATGATCTGGAAATCCAAAAACCTTAGAGATCTCGAGAAGACCAAAAAAAACCTAATAATCCAAGAGAGACGAGACCGACAGAATTACAAACAATGGACCGACAAGACAATGAGAAACAGACAGGGCTTTATAGACTGGGGCATAATGGGAGGCAGATGAGCTGCAGGTGTGTGGGGAGAGAACCAGGTGAAGGCAATAACTAATCAGGGAGGAGGAGCAGGAAGGAGCAGGGGAGGACACCGGACCTGACTGGGGAAGGACACACAAACACACACACACACACACACACACACACACACACACACACACACACACACACACACACACACACACACACACACACACACACACACACACACACACACACACACACACACACGCACGCACGCACGCGCACACACACACACACACACCCAGATGAGAAGGACATACACACACACAAAACTGAAATAATACACCTATAGAAATATGGTGGGGAGACCAAGAGAACATGAAGAAAACCAGGAGGGAGCTGGGGACAAAAAGGCTGGAGCTACAGCTGGAGGGGCTGGGGATGACCTGAAGGGCTACAAACAGAAGACACATAAATGAGACGCAGACAAAGGACACATGAGGGCGCTATGAGACACAAAAGGGGAATCTAGAGAGGGACGGAGAACATCAGGAGACACATGGGGAAAGACGCAGACGCAGACCATGACAATGATAGTAACGTTAAATGCCAATACAAGGCTGCAGACAGCGAGGTGGATGACTCTGAAGCAACCAGACTCCTTCCCCTAGCATATCTGTGACCGACAATCTTTTTACATGACATTTTTGGTCCAATGTGGTACGCTTGGAACCACATTGGAGTTGGTTTTAAAGGAGGGACAGCAGCCAAGTACAAATGGAAAAGCCTTGGAGCTGTGTAGAGCCGAGTCGAGCCGTGCTGACTGAGTAGGTACTAGTAGAAAAGGGCTATAAGTCACATTCATATTTACAACTGTATGGATGTAAAAATCAGCTGTTTGTGATTCCTGTTGCATTCTACATAAGCTCTACCTGTCCTGTCCTGAAAGGCCTTTCTCTTCTTCTGGCCAAACTCCTCACAACTAAAACCTTATCATTATACGTCTACTTCTTATTCATCTATTGATAGATGCTCCTTTCAGTTTTTTTTTTTTTTACCTGTGTTTATTTCATCTCAGTGGATCAACCACAGATTCGTTGGACCAATATGCTCTCTGCTAATTCTGCCCTTCAGGTATCTTAGGTCACTGTATTGGCAACCTTTTGTTAGACCCAACAGTTTGGCTCAGCTCTGTAGAGGACGAGATCACTGTGGAGGTCTGTATTCAGGAGGAAACCTTGAACCTTATCTACAAAGGAATCCTCATGCAAGAAGGTCAGTGGTGAAGTCTAGTGGTTTTCCTTCTGCGTTCAAACATTCGGCCGACACAGTGAAGACAGAAAAGGAGAGAAGTCAATCAGCTTATTTCAACCAAGATGAAGCTAATGTTGGTGTAAAACTCAATGATTCTATACTCCTGATTCATATTTCTTCTCACAATCAAATATCTAGTTTCGGTGGCACAGGAGTTAAGGGCTCGCCCCGTAGTCAGAAGGTTGCAGGTTCGAGCCCCGCTCAGTCTGTCGCTGTTGTTGTGCCCTTGAGCAAGACACTTAACCCCCCCTTGCCTGCTGGTGGTGGTCGGAGGGACCAGTGGCGCCAGTGCTCAGCAGACTCACCTCTGTCAGTGCGCCCCAGGGCAGCTGTGGCTACGATGTAGCTCATCACCACCAGCATGTGAATGATTGGGTTGTAAAGTGCCTTGGGGGGGGGTTCCAGGACTATATAAGGTGCTACATCAAATACAGGCCATTTACCGTCAGTTAAATATTAACCAAAAATAATCAACTCAGATGTTAGACTCTTATGTGTTCATGCATCATTTATCTGACATTCATCCCAGCACCATCCATCCATCATCTATCCTGCATCCAGGATGTCAGCCATCTGTCCTCTGTTGCCTACCTGAGACCAGGTCATTCAAACAGCTTAACCAAACATCTTCAGACCTACTTCTTTGTAGCTAGCTGCTTCTTCTAGCTCACCTGTGAGGATACCATGGTGATTAGTAGCAAGGAGGTTGCTTGTTCAAATCCCAGCTGCAGCCTCTCTGCGTGGAGTTAGCATGTTCTCCCCGTGCATTTGTGGGTTTTCCCCCGATACTCTACTTTCTTGCCACAGACCGAAAACAAGCATGTGTAAATAATCTCTAGATGTGAGTGAGTGTTTGTCTCTGGGTGTCCCTGTGATGGACTGGAGACCTGTCCACACTAGCTCTTTTTCTCACCTACTGACTGTTTGAGTTAGACGCCAGCTCCCCAAGACACTTACAGGAAAAGTGTCATTGAATCATTGAAAGTTCAGTAATAAAGTCTTACAAGGACCTCTTATGAAAACATTCTGTGTTCCTCAGGTTCATTTTTTGGACGTTGCAGTGCCAACCAAATATTTGACAGCTCTACATCCGGAGAAGACCTTTATCTAGAGCAGGGAGATTTAGCCCAGTTTGAGCCACCTTTCCTAGGCTCTGATTGGACTGTCCGTTCCCTCACCGATGGAGCCAGAGGTACTTCACCTAAACCTGCTCTAGAGCCCGTCATCCCTTTTCACCAGTAAGTCACATCCACACACAAGTCGCATCAAAATAATTGTCTCAGTCCTTGGGAGGGAGATATCTGATCTCGTCCTATAATCTCACAACCTCATGTCTCCTCAGATGGTTTCTCACATCATCTGCAGAAAGTCTTTTAATTGGTAGTGGAAAGCCTGCCTGTCATTTCCCTCTAGAGTTTGGTGAGTTGTTTTCTTCCAAATTTGAACTGTATGTTTGCGTTAGTATTTTAGTTCTGCAGGCCTCTCAAGTGGTGGAGGAACGTTATGATACCCCCATAACTCTGGCGCCAAGGTACCTAAGAACCATAGGGGAGGGGTCAGATTAAAGGCTACTTTTCCATCAGCAGGGACTCTGAGACACACAACACCATCATCTGTGGATGCAAGCGCTCTGTGGCAGGCCCACAAAGACAGAGATAAAGATGTTCCCAAGAAAAGTGTGTTAAAAGCTATGGGAGGCCTGTGATTGATCAGCAGGTACTTCCTTTAAATTCCCCATTAGGACCTCCAGTCTTATAAAAGTGCAGAAGACAAGGAAAAGATTGGAAAATGTCTTACGGAATAAGTGAAATTATATGAGCGTTTATACAACCCCTCACTGATGGAGTACAAAGATGTGTCACGTTGAGGGTTAGGAGGAGGTTAGGACCCAAGATGCAGAAAACACCAGATGACACGATGCAGGAGCGGTTTAAAAGTAAAATCCTTTTTATTAGGACGAGGAACCAAAAAATCCAAAAAGGGCAGGAAGCCAAAAACCAAAGTCCTGAACACCAGGAGAACGAAAGCTCACATAGAGCACAAAACCTAGAGACGAGGCACAAACAACGCTGACACCAAACAATGGACCGACAACACTTTGAGACACAGACAGGGCTTTATACACTGGGGAGGATGAGAGGGAGATGACCTGCAGGTGTGTGGGGAGAGAGAGACCAGGTGAACTGAGTTACTAATTAGGGAGGAAACAAACATGACCTAAGAATAAAAACTAAAGACAAGAAGAGCAGGAACATAACTAATAATCTAAGGAGGGGGAAAAAAACCTCAAACACTGATGGGAAAAAACACACTAGAGAGACTAATAACACGAACTGCTGTAACTAAGGAAAATGACCTGAGAATAAAACCTAAAGACCTGAAGGGCAGCAAACATAACTAACATTCTAAGGGGGAAGCTGAAACTAGAGGAAAACACTACAGAAAGAAAAACTACAGGGGCGTAACTAAAAGGGGGCCAAGGGAGCACAGGACCTGGGAGGGGGATGCCTGAGGTGGGAAACCTAGAGAGCTGAAGATCTGGGGGCAAATGGGGAACACCAGGAGACACATGAGGAAGACGCAGAACAAGGACACATGAGGGCGCTAGGAGACACAAAAGGAGAACCTAGAGAGGGATGGAGAACACCAGGAGACACACGAGGGGAGACGCAGACCATGACAAGATGAACTGCACACTTCATTTGTGGAAGGAAAGTGTAGAAAAGGTGGGTTTGAAGGTAGCCATGAAGAGGTGGAGGAGAATGACGAACAAATCTGTCCTGGTTAAAAAGTATCTTAAATACATAAATGCAATGCACAATTGTGTTTAAAATAGTAAATACAGGTCCTTCTCAAAAATTACACATACCACCTCCTGACTGCATCCCTGGAGCTCAGCCACAGTGATCTTTGGGTTCTTCTTGACCTCTCTCACCAAGGCTCTTCTCCCCCTGGAGCTCATTTTTACTGTGATTGCCTGTTTTTCTGTAAAATCACAGAAAAAGAGAGATGCTCGAGTCGAGCAGGCTGCTTCATGCACGTTCACGCTCAGGCATAGCCCGTAGCATTTGCTATCTGTAGCTTTAGCAGCAGAGAGAGTGGCAGTGCCAACTCAGCGACTTTGTCGTTGTTCCTAACGCCTAGTGATGAACCTAGCTACATTTCTGAGGACCCTTAGCTACTTTCTTCTAGATATTTCTTGCAAATTAGCAACAAAATAGCCATTTTCGCTCCGAACCGTTCTTTGAAAGTTGTTTCAGCTGTAATCAAGAATATAAATGTTACAGATACAAAAGATGCCACTGGTGCTTTAGCTCATCTAGTAAGACGTCGGACTCTCGTGCAGAAGAACCAGGGTTTGATTCTGGATGTGAACATAGTTTATTTAGATTTTATTTTTTACATTAATGGTATATTTTTTTTACAGTAAGTTGCCCAAATTTTTATTTGAGACTCCCCATACGGCATTGAATTCACAGATAAAAAAGATGTGGGTTCAACTTTCATTTTGGAACAAATTTTTCAAGCAAGGGAAGGGAATGATCTGAGCATGCAGGATGACTGACCCATCACAAACCTTTGTCGGCTGTGCTGAAGAGAAAGGTACAGAACCAAATTATTTCATTAATTAGCTGCACGTTCTCCTGTCCTCTGTCCTCCGGGTCACACACACACACACACACACACACACACACACACACACACACACACACACACACACACACACACACACACACACACACACACACACACACACACACGCACACGCACGCATGCACACACACACTCACTCACTCACACGGGACTGTCTCAGCTGTTATTTTCATTAAGGAGTGTGCACGTACAGCATGCGCTCCTTGCACGAGCCTACTATTGAAGCTGCCGTTACGCTTTTGGCCTGCGGGGGCAATCACGAGCATAAAAATTCAAAAGTCCGTAAAGTCCCTTTAATGAGGAAAAATACATGTAGTTGATTTTAGCAAACGACTGCAATATAACAATGAGTGAAAAATCATGGGGTCCGAATACTTTCTGTACCCCCTATATTATTAATTTTGTAATTCTCTGCAAACTATGCAGAGTGTTGGGACTCATTTTGTGTCCTTGTCTCTTCAGCCAGTGGACTTTGTCTCGCCACAGAGGAGTACAACGCTGAAGGCCCTGATGAGCTGACTTTGGCCCCTGGTGATCACATCCTCATAGTGGGGTTTCTGGTGTCTTGCTTTGATTGGTTTACAGGAATGATGGAAAAAACAGGACAAGTGGGACTTATAAAGACAAGTTTGGTCAAACCATTTGTTGAAACTCTCAAGTGAGTTTATTGTTATTTAGCTTCTTCAGGAAATCTAAGTATTCACTAGTTGGATTTCTAAGTTTTGCATCTTTATTCTTTTTAGCTCAGCAGATATTTTATTGGATGGTGAGGAAGGAAAGTTCGCCTGTCCACAAGATCAAAGTATCATAAAAGAGTCAATCGAATCTTTAAAGAAGACTTTTGAAAATGATGCTGGTCTCAACTACAAACTGGGTAAGGATTGGTGCAGGTTTTTTCTCATCTTCTTTTTACTTGTTGTGTATAAAAAATATAAATAATACCATTCATCTAAATAGTTTCATTATAATTCTGTTTTCAAGCATTACACTTTATACATTTTTCATGGCTTTTTTAGGATAGATGGCATTCTGTAATGTGTGTGGGAGACCCGGCTCCAATAAGGTTAGGCAGACAGGAGGCTACAGCGGAAAAAATACCTTATCTTCTTTACTTCAGGTGTCTTTCGTAACTAGCGGAAAACACTAACAGGCAAAAATTGCAGAGTGCAAGCCCCAGTATATCATTGATTCTTTCTGCTGTCAGCTCCTCAGAGTGATCTGCAGGACTTAACAGATGAAGAACAAAGTCACTTCTAAGCAAAACCCTCCTCAGGAAGAAACACATTTTGGCACAAGAGACTGTTTGTGTTTCATAGACCTGCAGCTTATTATTTTCATTTAAGTCAAAAGAAAAAAGAAACTTACATTTTTAAATTACTATGGTTCTGGTCCACTGGATGGATGCTACATTTTCTCTTCCTAAGGAGGGCATAGCCTTCCCATCTTGCCCTGATTGGGAGAAAGGGAGAGGGAGAGTTTTTTCCTCTTTTAATTTTTATTCCGACTTAAACAACAGAATCAGAAAAGCTTTATTGCCATTGCTCCAGCGTCCCGAAGCATAGGAATTTGACTCCGCAGCACAGCCTGACCAAGGTTACACACACACACATGTAGACAAAACAGATACAGGCAGACCACAAGAGCAGCCATGAACGGCGCTCATTTCATTTAGATGAAAAGGGGATTACATGAGGATAAATTGGGGAAAGGAAAAAAAGGCATTCCAGAGTTACTCCCGACAGGGCGTAGCTTTGCTATGCAAAAAAACACCTCAAACATATAAGCACAAACATCAACAGTCACAACATGAGACTCCAATAGGAAGGCAGGGGAGGGCTGGGATCCAGCGATAGCAGCTATCTAAGGCGCTCATCTACTGTACAGTCACAGGTGGAAGGGAGATCTTGGGAGAAGCGAAGAGCACATTGACTCCTACAGCTGACGACCTCACCAGGCTGAAGTCCACTGATCCGAAGGTGGGGGGTGGGGGTGGGGTAGGTTGGGTTTTTCACAGCATCTGTTTGCATTCCTTCGTGGGGGTTTTAGTTGCTTGCAGCTCAAGGCTACCAAGGCGTCAGATTCAGATAACAAGAATTTGTTTGGGTCAGGCTGAGATACTTTTCCTCTCTGCCTTCAGTCTTTAAACTGATCATTCCAGTCCTTCAGTGAAGCCAATTTTGTCTTTTAAACCTGTCCATACCGTCCGGTGACTCTCCAAGATGACATCCATTTTGCGCACTTATACCGGTATTGCAGCTAGAACATTGTCCAGCTTACGATTCACCTCGAGTAACGTCCCAGTCTGAGAAGTCTCCACACGGACGGTGCTTTCCGTGGGTGCGGGTCGCCCTCCAATCGCTCCCGTCTTCCCAAATTTCCAGAAAACCAGATATCCTCCCACTCCAATCAGGAGAAATCCAGTGATCATCAGGCCAAATATCCACACGTCTTCGACAGGATATCTCAACATTTAACAATTAACAAAAGTTTTGCTGTTTCTGAACTACCTATTCTGTAATTATAGTCAGTTATATAGTCAATTAACCAAATAATATGTGAAATGTGCCAGAAGTTAGAGTTTCTCCAGTGTAATAGTCCATTGATTTGGGTTTTTAATTAGTATTTAGAATTGACTGTTTTTTTTTATTTTACTTGATTTTTTTCGTCAAATTTCAGATATTATCCCCTCCCACAACAATGGAGCAAAACCATCAGGTATGTATTCACCATGCACTAGAGCCATATGCAGGACTATTTTTAAATCCCGCTCCTGTCAAATTTCTGACCATTACTGCCCGCTCCCACAATTTTTGCATCCAAACCTGCCCGCCCCCGCCTCTCTATACTTAAATCAAAGTAAGGATTATACACACTTTTCAATTAGTCTGGCTGGTCATGGCTTACTTTTGTTGTTTCCATACATCTAAAGTATCTTTCTTTTCTTCAGTTTCACATTCTCCAGCCTTCATTTTGTTAGCTACCTCAGGTACACCATCTTCTGGCACAGTCACGGCCAGTGTTGGGAGTAACGCCGTTTAAGAATAACAGCGTTACTAACGGCGTTCTTTTTTAGGTAACGGAATAATCTAATTAATTACTTTTCCCACTGTTGCAACGCCGTTACCGTTACTGGGGACGGAAGGTTGTGCGTTACTATGTGCTTGTCGAACGTTGAGCAGCAGCGTGAGGCTTTCTGACCGCCACACTTCAGCTGCAGCCAGGGAGAGAGAGGTGTCGGTAACGCACTTACAAACACGATGATGATTGGCCGGGTGGGCGGAGACCCCCCAGTGTCTCAGTCGCTGCATGCTGTAGACCCAACAGAGCAGTGATGGTAATAACGCCGTTTAAAATAACTAAAAAAAATTTTTTTCAGTAACGAGCAAACTAATTAATTACCGTCTTCTTTTATCAAAACGTTGTTTCTGTTACTGATAAGGAAATGCGTGCGTTAAGCAGCGCGATGTGTTGAAGTTGTCATCAGCTGATCAGGAGCTAAAGAGGCAGATGTTTTCATTCAAGCGCATCACGGCCCGTGGAGAACGAGGAAGACGTGATGAATATCTACGGCTGCAGGTGTGAATCTGCAGCCGTGCCCTTCTTGGCGTGACAGCGGGACGTCCCGAAGGTCCGCTCACCTGTTCACCGCTCAGATGTCCTGATCTTCTACCTTCCTAGATCATCCAGCTGTAACCTGTTTCTGATCATGTCTTTAGTCCCGCTGTAACACTGATGCATCAGTCTCAGACGGCATGGAGCTCAGGTGTTATTAGAACTTCCTGTGTGTGTTTACCACCCAGCTTCAGCTCTTCTATGTTTGGGTCTGACCCACGTTAGTACATTTAAGTCCTCCATCAGGCTTGTGCCTCTTCTAGTGTCATTTTAAAGGAATTTATATATTTATTTAACCATTACTAGATTAGCAGCAACAGAAATGCTACTAATAATTATGTGAAGCTGGAAAAATTAAAATACTGTGCAAAATTACATTCATTTCTGTAATTTAACTAGACTGAGAGACCATCTAAAGGCTCTGGAACCTTTACAGGTGTTTCTATTTGCAATTATAAATTTTGACTGATTGGGGTCTTGTTAAATATCACACAGTGACCTTTTAATAGTCTAGATTAGTGTAATGCTCCTGTTAGTAGTTCCTCCTGTTAAGTACTTATTTATTTATTCAGGTTTATAAAAAAACATTTAGACATACATTTTATTAAGTTCCAGTCATTAGTCATTAATATTTCACTATTGTAGTAATTCTTGCATGCTTTAATGAAAAAAGTAACCAAGTAGTTATTTTTCTTGGAAATTAGTTACTTTTACAATCTTGTAACTCAGTTACTTTTTTGACAAAGTAATCAGTAACTATAACTAATTACTTTTTTAAAGTAACGTTCCCAACACTGGTCAGGGCCCACAGTTTTTTTTTTCTTAGCTGCCCACTGTAACGTCTAAACCACCCTCTTTCTTAAAATTTGCGTTGGGTCTGGTGAAACCCGCGGGTTCCAATCCCATTGCAGGGTTGGTGTACACTAATCTGAGCATCTCCCTATGAGTGCAATGTCTGTTTTATTTTTCAGCTGCTCCTCTTTGTGAGGATGAAACTCACCAGACCGAACTGAGGGAAAACATCCAGACACTTCTTGCACCCATTAAATTTTCATCTCCAGATCACACCATCAACACGAGTGAGACCCAAAAGGACTGTAAATACCTCAGCCCCATCCGTTTCACAGTTCACCCTCCTGCAGAGGGAATCCAAAGCACACAGGACTTTGTTCCACTTTTCGCCATTTTGGACGGACGAGACTTCAAAGAAGAGTTTGGTGTCCTGTATGAAATGAGTTCTGAACAGCTCTCGTCCGTCATCTTTGAAGGTCATGCTGACGAAGACGGGCTGATTTCGTATCTATGTGCTGCCAGAGAAGTATCTAAGAAGAAACGCCTCTTCTGGACACAGACTCGTCTATGCCTTTTGTTGGGTAAATTCTGCTCTGGGAGATCAAAGTTCAGCCAGGCTCAGGCATTCTTTGAGGAGGCCCTCTGTGTTCCACCAGAGAGCTTTACAGACCTCAGGTTATTAGCTAGCATCTATTTCCACCTTGCTGACATGCATGCTTTCCAGAGGAACAAGGAGAGTTTCTTTGCTGTGTCAGAAAGACTTGTTGCCCTACTGCTGGCTCTCCCAGACTGCCTGAAAGGTTTTGAGGACAACTGTGTCCTTGCATACATGATGAGAAAAGCGATTCTCTCACAGAACAAACAGGCAGAGGCCAGGGCGTGCTATCTCTTAGTGAAGCACCATTTGACAAGTGGGGAGGAGAATCAGGTAGTCCCTTATCTCGAAAGACTACTTGTTGCTTTTAATGAGGCTCAACAACCATGGAGCCTGGTTCCTAGTCAGGTGTACTTGACCTTAGGAGGACTTTACAGCAAACTCCACCGTCCCCTCCTCAGTGCCAGTTCAGCCAAGGTAGCCTCTCTGCAGCCCTTTGTTACCCTCTCTGACTGCCTTGGTTGTATGGTATTGGTTCTGGACAATTTCCACCATCATGGATCCACAGAGCGGGACATTTTGCCTCAGGTGGCTCCATATTTATACCGAGGCCTAAGTTTTACCAAGGTTTCAGAAGCAGGAGTAACTCATTACCAATCTTTGAGCTACCAGCTTACATTTTGTCTCAGCCAGCTGTTTTACAAGTACAAAATGGTCAAATGTGCCATCAAGTGTATGAATTCCTTCATCAACAACAACACACACTTGGAGCTGCTCCACCTTTCAGCTGTGGAGCTCAACTCTGGCCTGATTTGGTTGGCATGGCTTAATCTTGAAAACAATCAGCCAACCATTGCCTTGGACATATTGGACTCAGTCGTAGCCTCCTTGCCTGAACACAACACATCCCATCAGGAAGGTGAGTAGGTTTTTAAAAGTCATGGTTCTGGTTCTGATCAGTGATGGAGCCCCTAGATGACCCGGGGCCTCATTTATCAAGCTTGCTTACGCACAGAAGGGGGTCGGAAAACTGTGTAAGCAACGTTCCACGCAAACTTTGGGATTTATAAAAGAAATAGGCAAGAAATGGGTGACGGTGGCACAGGAGTTAAAGACAAAGTCACCCCCTACCAGATTCTTACTCAACTCCCACTTCCTGTTTGAAAAAATGCAACAATTGCTGTTGCCTAGCAGACCGAGAGGGTGGAGCCGCTAACAAATACACACACTCACGACATTGTGACATCATGATGTACCATCTAACATCATAGCGTACCTCTTAGCCAATAGCGACGGCAGATTTAAATTCAAATGCAGTGCTGAGTTTTTACCTGACGACGGTGCATCGCTGACAGTTTTGGGCAGAACATTTAAATTTTAACTAAGATGCACTAAAGTGCCGAATTATTGACTACACGTGTCTGCGGCACGATCAGACACTCATTTATATAGTTTATCAGCAAAAAAATGTTGATTTGCAGTGACTTGCTCTTTAAGTGCTTGCCCCGTAATCGGAAGGTTGCAGGTTTGATCCCCGCTCAGTCTGTCGCTGTCATTGTGTCCTTGGGCAAGACACTTAACCCAAGTTGTCTGCTGGTGGTGGTCGGAGGGACAGGTGGCGCCTGTGCTCGGCAGCCACGCCTCTGTCAGTGCGCCCCAGGGCAGCTGTGGCTACCTTGTAGCTCATCCCCACCAGTGTGTGAATGTGTGTGTGAATGGGTGAATGACTGGCTGTGTTGTAAAGCGCCTTGGGGGGTTCCAGGACTCTAGAAGGCGCTATATCAAATACAGGCCATTTATCGTTTACCGCTTCAAAACGTAGCAGAAAAATGTGCGCAACTTTAAGTTGACTAAGGACCTGGCTTACACACATTTTGGACATGGAGAGACATGGAGACGTGGTGGTCAGAGGGGCCGACTGCGCCAAATGGCAGCCTCGCCTCTGTCAGACCTCCCCAGGGTGGCTGTGGCTACAAGTAGCTTACCATCACTAGCAGTGTGTGAATGTGAGAGTGTGTGAAAGCGTCTTTGGGTGTCTAGAAAAGCGCTATATAAGTTCAATGCATTATTATTATTATTATTATTATTATTATTATTATGGAGAGCACCTGCAGTGCTGCTGCTGAGAAGGATACAAATGTGAAATCCTGCAGCATTATCACTTATACCACCCCCACCCCCCTGCCCAACACACACACACACACACACACACACACACACACACACACACACACACACACACACACACACACACACACACACACCCTGAAGCGTAGGATAAGGAATACAGAATGTCAGCAGGGGGCAGATTGAGACAGAACATCATGGGTCAGTGACAGTGTAAGCGTCCTGTCGCTGTGACCCACTGATCATGCGCCCTGGCTACTTAACAAAGGAGATCAAGCCGGCTTACGTATATGCATGAGATCCAGAAGGCACTTTGCATTGACCGTTTATGGCAGAAAGTGGGCGTGTTGAGGGCGGGACGTGATCCAGAAACACCCGAAAACGTTTCTAGGTCGTTTCTGATTTGTAAAGCGGAGATTGCGTGAAGCTGTGCGTACTCCGTGTTTTATAGGTCACAAGCCTGCTTGGCGTAAGTACTTTTTTTTGCTGAGCTTAAGTACGGTTTTAGTAAGGATTCTACGCAATGTTTTATAAATGACACCCCAGAACTATATAGAACTAGACCCAGGCTAGTACAGAAAACAGGTCAGTGGACCAGTTTTTACAGGACTTGAACTGGCCTTGCTGAGTTTGCATGTATGATACCATCAGATGTTATTTACTGCGTATCACACTAAAGGGTTTAATAACATCAAACATCGTCTCATGTAAATAAATCTTAGATAATTTGTTTTGTTTAACATAAAGGGGTGGTTCTCAACATGCGTGGTGTGACTCTTCAGAGCATGGGAGACCAGCGGAGGGCAGCAGAGAGCTACCAAGCTGCTGCTAACTTTTGCCAGGAGGCTGAGGATTTTTTAAACTGGGCTGTGGTTCAAGCCAACCTTGGTAAGATTTAAAGTCCCCCATCATGACACGCTTCACTCACAAATTTAAAGGATGACTCTTTGGCTCTTCGTCTCCACAAAAGGCTTGCTGTGTCTCAAGGCTGGAGCTAAAGGGTTAGCGCAGAGCTACTTAGTCAAGGCTGTGCAGCTCTTCTCAGAGCTCAAAGGAGAAAGTCATGAAGAAATGTTCATCTCTGTGCTGCTCAAGTTGGGACTGCACTTTGTCGAGCAGGGGAACCTGGATTATGGAAAAGGATGCTATGAGTGGGCTCTGCTGCTGGCTATGAGGGCCAACCTGTTAGACTGTAAGTCAATCGTTGTCATGTACAAACATTCATGCATACAGTGGGATGTGAAGGTCTGGGCAGCTTTGTTACTCTTCGTGACTTTCCTTAACTAAATTGTTGATCGTAGCAATAAAAAAATTCAGTTAAATTTGTTATATAGCAGACTGTGAGAATGTAGAGCAGCCAGAAGGTCTTCAAGTTGAAAGAAGTAGAGGCAAACTGCAGCACATTGACATTTTTCCTTGAGAGCCAAAATGTTTCTCAGGCATTTATTTCACTGCTTTCCTTTACGAATCACACACAAAAAAACCCTCCTCAAGCCTCCACCTGGCTTCCTTTAAATACCCCAGAAAATCACACCTGCAAACAATAAGCCCCAATCATTGGTGCTCCAACATTAAATCCAAAAGGAAATAAACATCCACATAAATGTACCTAAATGTTAACATAAACAAAAGACAAAACTGTTTCTACAATACAAGCAACTTTTTCACACTAAAACCAAAGAAACAAATCCCACTTCCTTTGGTTTGTCCAAATGAAGCAGCCAATCATAGGATGATCCAGGGAGGTAGTACTGGGTGGGCCCTGGGTGGGCCCTCCCCTCACAACCTGCTCTGGATACAAAGCAAACATGAAATCCCAAATGGTAACTGCATCCACACCAGTGCAATAGTCACATTTCAGTCTAGTTAAAATATCCCCCATCACAGTGCCAGCAGGCTACAGAAATAAATTACAGGGGTGAATGGGAAATCATCCATACCACTTCGTCACAGAGACGCACACAGTGATGCTTGAGAAGTGAACAAAGTTTATAGGATCTACATAAAGTGCGCAATAATTGTTTAAACAAAAGTAGACAGAAAAACAAACATTTTAGATCGCTAGCATCACACAGCTTCCCACCACTCATGCTTACATTTTAAACATTGTGCAAAAGGACAACTACTTTAGTTAGTAACAGGGGAAGTGCCGAGTTTATTTTGTCTCCAACAGCAGTTGAATCTCATTCTCCCAAAGCGTGACGTGAGACGTAAGATGTGCGTCTTATTTAAAAATATACATTTATTTTTCTCTATATTTAAGTTTATGGAAGCCCTTTCCCGCCACTCAGATAAAAAAAATGTTATCTCATAATTATGACTTGGCTATCTCATAATAATGAGATACTATCTCATTATTATGACCTTAACTTATCACTCCAACAACGTTTCCTTGTTGTGTTAACTTAGGCTAGTGGAGAGCTAGCATGTAGCATCTTTAGTAACTCAGAGCAGAAGTTTGTTAGCTTATCTTCATAGCTGTATATGTAGCTGGGCACGTACAATACAAGCTTTGTCCATACTTGATTTTGACATTTCGGACGAGGCAAGAAAGATTCGGTGTACATCGTTAACCATTACTCTTGGGAGGTCTTGCAGCTAACGCGTACAAATAGCCATTCTGACCACTCAGCGCGAACGAAGTTGTGTGCTGCAGGTTGAAAAATACGGAAGTGCAAAAACGGAAGTCCGTGGAGGGCGGCTAGCAGAATTTATCTCATAATTATGAGATAATAATTTTTTTTATTTGAGTGGCGGGAATGGGCTTCCATATAAGTTAGAGTGATAAAACATTTATAGAAATCTTCCAGTGAGAAAAGCGAGCCTTGGGTGAAGATTATTGTTTTTGTTTTAGTCATTTGTTAATTTGCTACATGCTATTACCACAGGGGGCACATTTTTACTTCACAAGTTTTACCAAATAAACAAAAATATCTCTAAAACTTTACCTCAGATCTATCCTATTTTAGCATCCTGAGAGAGAGAGAGAGAGTAGTAGCTGAAGAGTTTCACATGTAATATGTGGCTGCTATGTAAAAGATGTGTCATTAGATTATTTTTGAACAACCCTAATGTATGGTGTGTGTGTGTGTGTGTGTGTGTGTGTGTGTGTGTGTGTGTGTGTGTGTGTGTGTGTGTGTGTGTGTGTGTGTGTGTGTGTGTGTGTGTGTGTGTGTGTGTCTTTGCTCCAGGCCAGCTCAGTGCAACAAGACATCTGTGCAGTCTTTATGGACGCGAGAGTCCAGATCTGGCCCGGTGTATCATCTACGGCAAGCACCAGGCACATATCCTGAGACAGAGCAGAGACAGAGCGCAGGAGGCGGGGGCTCTGGAGGCTGTCAGCCAGCTCTACCTCGGTCTGGGCACATGCAGGTGTTTGTGTGGGCATCTGGATTTCAGCTAAAAGACATGAGTGTTCTGAGCAGGACAGATTCCTGATCTTTTCAGCATGCTTCTCATTCAATGTTTGATATTATAAAATGTTAAAGATCTCAAAGTAAATTTCACATTTTAGTTTTGAATTTATCCTTTGAGTTAAATTAAATGATGATTATGAAGACTTCACCAAACTAACTTTAAATCCGTTGGGGTGCTTTCATTTGTTTTATTGCTTTAATCCTCGTGGGATGTAAATCAGAAATAACACCTGCACGTTTTTTCCTGCATGAGATACGTCTTATTAATTCACTCTCAGCAAGTCAGCTGGTATAAAGCCCTTAAACCAGGGGTCTCACTCTGGTTGGTTATCAAGAGCTGCAATCCAACATGTTTTAGTTGTTTCTGTGCTCCGACACACTTGATTTGGTGGTTGAATCACCTGCTCAGCCTGTTGATCACATACTGATCAAAATAAGATGTGTTTAAGCAGGGAAACAACTAAAACATACTGGATTGCTCCCTTCGAGAAGCAGAGTTTAAGACCCCTGATTCTGAATCCAGTCCATCACAGGACCAACACAGAGAAAACTCTCCACTGAGGTCAATGCAGAATCATCACTGACAGTAATCTGTGGGGGTTTGATCTGTGAGAGGAACTGGACCGCCCAGAACAAATCAACACGCAGGGACATCAGTAAAGTCCATAGGTTTATTAATAACATTTATTAGACAAATAACTGATTAAAGAGTAAACAATACATGCACCACTAATACCACCATACCTGGCTTAGAATATACTGGAGTAGCTAGCATGCTGTGAAGGTATTTAACTCTCTTGGTTATTTTTCATCAGTAGGACCGGACCCTCGTGTGTCTCTGTCACTATTTTCTCAGTTGTCATGTTACAAGATAAAATGCTCGAGAACCAGTTGTCATTAGCAAAACATACAAACACAAATACAATCTCTATTACTTGAAAGCAAAACTAGTTCGGCTTTGACCCGCTCTGTGGCTTGATGATGTGTGTAGCAAGATGCCAAGGTAGCCAAAAGCTATCCCCACAGCAGATGGAGGATTCGTTTAGTCAAAGTGGCATCATGGTGAACATAGAAGTTATTAAAGGACCTCTCACCATTAGTGCTGAGCAGTAGATGCTGCAGAGTGGATAGAAGGACCAGTTTCAGGACGTGATGTTTTCATCCGGATGGATCTGAGTTACCAGAAGCTGTGGCTACATCATTAGAGAGTACAGATCGGCTCCTCCTGCCCATCGGTGGATTTCCTCACCAGCAGGTCCATGTGACACAGGGCTTTCCAACAGTGTAGCAGAGTTTGAAACATTTGTTCACAACATTTTTGTAGTTCTGTGTCCTTTTTGGCACTGAAACAACCAGAATTGTTCTCTGAGTGAAAAAACAAGCCTGACAGATTGTCCGTCACAGGCTGAGCATTACAGTTTCACCTCCAAAGCCTCGTCTGACATAAAAACCTTTAGAACCGCTTTTAGATTAGTTTTAATCCCAAATTACACAGAGACTGAAGTGAAAGGGAAAGGATGAACAAGAAGAAAGAGAGTTAACAAAGACACAAGGAACCCCTTCCTGGACCTTTGAGAGAGAGAGAGAGCGAGAGAGAGAGAGAGAGAAATACTACATCACCAAACAACACATGGATATTTAGCTAAAACCACGTTAATGAAAAGCAAACAGTAAAAACGAAAGCGATACTAGCGAAAACCTAAGAAGTCCAGCGTCAATCGACCCCCTTTGGGTTACCACGACCTGGAGAACTGAGAACCTTCAGCAGCATAAAGTTGGTAGCCCTTCTACTTGTCATCATCATGAGCATGCACCAGCCCTACTTTAGCTCTGACTGTTTTATTCTTATGATGATCATTAGACAAAAAGAAGAAAAAGCATTGCCTGATAAATGTGTCTGAATATTTTTAGGGCCTACCGGACAGCTCTGGACTACACCAAAAGCAGTCTGGGCATTTTTATCGACCTGGGCTGCAAGGAGAAGGAGACCTATGGCTGGTTAAAAGCGGGACACATCTACCACTTACTGGGTCAAACAGAGCTGGTGGACATCTATATTCAGGTGTGAAACCAGTTTGTCAGTCTACCTGGTTCTCTCCATCCTCCTCATCCCTCTAGTCAACAGTTCATCCAGCTCTGGGTCACGAGGGCAGCAACCCCAGCAGATCTCAGTCCATCAGTCTCAACCAGCTCCTCCAGCTCCTCCAGTGGGACTCTAATAGCACTTACACACTAGAATCAGCTCCACTCTGCCTGGAACAGATTTGGAGCGTCCTCATTTGGGTAGCCTTGGATTTTCTTGCATGCAGCCGGACGCCTTTTCAGCCTTCTTCTTGTGGCGGTCTGCCTGGAGCAGAACTGGTCCAACTGCTGACTGACTGACCGGCTCAAAACCACACTTACCATTAAGTGGAGCCATTGATTGGCAGATAGAATCAGCCAATGAGGGCAATATCAGTCTGGTCTTGTGAAAACTCTGACTACAGCCATTTTTCTTTGTCTCTCACTGCTTTGAGGAGCGCGCGCACTCACACACCTACACACACACACACACACACACATACACACACACACACACACACACACACACACACACACACACACACACACACACACACACACACACACACACTCGCAGCAAAGCAGGATGCAAAATCAAAGTCAGAGAGTCTCTAAAAACAAGACAGCTCAGGCCACTTTTGTTTCATAATGGAGACACCGCCGACTTCTCTGCGCTATCTTGCCCCACCCACATGCTCCATGCACTCATGACATCACTGATCACGTTCACAATCACGTCCACATCCCTAAGGCAGTGTGGGACGAACACAGCCAGGCTGGGGTGGAGGGGAGTGGAGTAGAGCCGGTGCTAGTGTGTAAGTGGCATAAGATGCGCCCTGATCAGCCTAGAGACACAATTCCTCCAGCCTATTACCAAACGCCACAAATAGGGGTTTCACATCTGAATCGGCGCGGCCTGCATATTGTTTTCATACCCGGGTGGGCTGGTACGTTTCCCCATCCGGCCAGGTGTTTTTTTGGCCCTTATCCTCTGGTGGTTCACTCAGGACTGGTCTGGGCCAACACACCCACTACAACTGATTGGCCTGCTCAAAAACACGCCTACCGTAACCCCAGTTTCACACTGAAAGCATCAGCGTTGCGGAACGTCACTGCTTCAACTAGAATCCCTTATAATCTAGGGACTGTTTCAAACCAGCAGCGAAGCGTTCCAGAAGCGGCACGCCACGCCGCTGAAGATAGGATCGGGTTCTATTTTTGCCACGTGCCGCTTCTGGGATGCGTCAATTTCCGCAGTTAACATAGGCTAGACAGGAAATCACACATGGTTTCGGTGTAAAATCACCGGTAAATTTCAAAATAAAAGTACTGCAGCAATGCAATTTCATATATATGAAGCTTACGTGTGGCCTAACGGCTTATTTGCTCACAGCATCGTTCCAGAAGTGCAGCGGTGTGTTTTCATGGCTTTAATTCTGGCCGTGGAGAGAAACAACATCATACACGACATCAAACAGCGATATAAAACTGCTTTCTTTCTTTTTGGTTTAATGGCAGATTGCATAAACAAACCATGACCTGAAGTCTTGAGGGACTGTGTGATCTCGCGAGTCCAGCGAAGAGCACAGCGAGGAAGCTGAGCCGCTGCCAAGGCTCTCCCGGTGTGAAAAGGACCACTTTGAAGTTCGCAAGTAAACCGTTTGGCTTCTATTTTGCGCCGCTGATGCTTCCAGTGGGAAAACGGTGTTAGGGAAAGCCTTATATTGGCGGTTAGAATCAACCAGCAGGGGCGCGATTGATTATCATTCTGGATGCTGAGATGGAAGCCTCACCTGTGACTGAAGCTGTGGCAGCTCTCTTTCTCACTGCTGTGAGGAACACACACACTCATGGCTGCCTTTATTTTTTAAGGGAGACACCACATCCTTCACAGTGATACGTGACAATAATTGCATGGCTTAGTGTCATCTGTTCAAGATAATAACATAAATACTTTAGTACTACACTACACAGTGCTTATCCTGCTCGACTTCTCGGCTGCATTTGACACTGTCAACTATGGCTTCCTTTTGTCCACACCCTCAGCATGGGCATAACAGAGAAAGCACATGCCTGGTTTGAATCGTACCTCACAGGATGATCATTCAGTGTATCTTGGCTTGGACAATCCTCTACCGTGCACCATCTTGCCACAGGATTCCCCCAGGGCTCTGTACTAGGACCTCTTCTCTTTGCCATATACACCACCTTACCAGGGTGAGATCATTCAATCACATGGCTTCTCCTACCACTGCTATGCAGACGACACCCAGCTCTATCTGTCATTTCCACTGAACGACCACACTGTCTCAGCACGAATATCAAACTGTCTCTCTGACATATCAAAATGGGTGAAATTCCACCATCTCCAACTCAACCTCCCTAACCCCCAAATTCCACTACCTCCGCTCCGCTCCGCCCCCGCCTTCCGCAGCCGCACGCTTCCGAACTCAATTTTAACTGGTACCCGCACTACATCGGCTCCGCTCTGGTGCGGAGACCTGAGGTGGGCAAACAAGCGTGCGCGGGATTTTCGAGATCTTGAGATACAGTCCGAGCAATGAATGCGGAAGTTATATCCAAACACCCGTTGTGTGGGAGAAGCATTGAAATGAACTGTTTAATCTGCCCATCATTTGTGTTGAGAGATCAGCAGTGTTTGGATCAACAAAGTGTGACTACTTTGATAGTAGAAACTGTATTTATGGCTTATTTTTGTGCATTTAAAGTTCAGCCGCCATTGATAGTTGTTAAAAGTTGTTAAACCTGTGCATATGAAACAAAAAACGCCTTTTGTTTATCGATTTATTGTGAAAAATGGAAGTTGTGCTTGCTCCTTTTCCTGTTGGGCGGTTGTGATTTCTGTCCATTTACTGCGGAGGTGCTCCGGCGTCCGGCAAAGATAGGATCGATTCTATTTTTGCCGGACGCCGGAACAGAGGGCGGTGCACTGCGCCGCACTGCCGGAGCACGGCCGCAGTAGTGGAATTGCTCTGATTGACTACAACGGGACCGATTTTGCTCCGGCGTTCGCATCGGAGCGGAGCGGAGGTAGTGGAATTTGGGGGTAAAACTGAACTACTTGTCATCCCAGCAAAACCATCCATACAGCACAATATCTCAATCCAAAATGACTTCCTATCTCTGGCTCCTTCAAAGGCAGTTCGAAATCTGGGTGTTGTGATTGATGAACACCTGACCTTTAAAGATCATGTTGCCTCTGTTGCTCGTTCATGCCGCTTTGCGCTGTATAACATACGAAAGATCAGACCATACCTAACACAACATGCCACCCAGCTCCTGGTGCAATCTACTGTCATCTCCCGCCTCGATTACTGCAACGCCCTTCTAACTGGTCTTCCAGCCTGTACTGTGAGACCTCTTCAAATGGTCCAGAATGCAGTGGTGCATGTGGGCTTCAATCAGCCAAAAAGAGCACACGTCACCCCTCTGTTCATTGAGCTCCACTGGCTACCGCTAGCAGCACACATCAAATTCAAATTGCTAACACTAGCATACAAAGTCCGAGATGGTACGGCTCCCATCTTCCTGAATCCTCTTGCAAAGGCTTACGTCTCGGCCCGGCCGCTCCGGTCATCACAGGATCGTCGGCTAGCAGTGCCTACACCACGCTCAGGACAATCCAGACTCTTCTCATGCATCGTTCCACAAATGTGGAATGACCTTCCAAGCACTACCAGAACAGGGGCTTCCTTTTCAATTTTCAAGAAACTCCTGAAGACCCTGCTCTTCAGAGAGCATCTTCTAAACTAGCACCTTCCCTGCACCCGTCCCCCCTCTCTACCGTCCACTCCTTGTTCCCTCCTCTCCATGATTGATGTCAATGTTGTTGTTGTTGTTGTTGTTAGCCTCAAGGGCAACATGCCGATTGTCACTTGTAAGTCGCTTTGGACAAAAGTGTCTGCTAAATACATAAACATAAACATTAACATACACATAGAAAATGTTTTGCCTTTAAAGGTTAATGTCGTCTGAATGTTGATCTGCAGGTTGAACCTGGTCCTGTGTTCCACACTAAATCTAATCCCCAATAATGCGCCCCTGAACACACTAGATTCTACATTAGCTATTATGTACATGATCATACTTACGCGGGAGGTGTTTTGGTTGTTTTTAGGCAGCTCAGGATGTAGCTCTCAGCACTGGAGACACCAGCTTTATTCTTAAGCTGCTAGAAGCTTCGGGAGATCTTTTCTACAGCTGCCAGGACTCTGACAGAGCCATCACCTTCTACAGGGTAAGGAGCAGAACAGCCTGTCAATTTGTGAGCTTCATGCACTGAAACAGGAATGTGTTGTCCATTTGTAGGACCGTGCTCATCCTGTAGCAGTGAAGAGCGGGGACGTGCACTGCAGGCTCAGGCTGTGTAATAAACTGGCTCAGGTGATGCTCCAGCTCGGGATGTATGAAGAGGCAGCTAAGTTTGCTCAGACAGCGGTGGACATCAGCATCAATCTGGGTGTGTCTCCTCTACATCAGCTCTGATTTAATGGACAACAAAAACTTGAGTCTGAGTAAAAGCCAGACTCACTGTAGCAAGAAGCTTTACTAACTGGTGACTTTTACAGAAAATGCTCCTGAAATCAAGTCGTAGCAAACTCTCTTTTAGCTCAGGGACTTTCTTTCTCTCCAGCTTGGACACGGATCCAGAAGAGTCCTGTCCTGACATGATCCTGATGTAATCGTCTCCTCTGGTGGATTGTCCTCTGCAGTATAATGAACAAAGTCTTTTTTATTCATTTTACCATTTTAAATTGAACAGAAAACAAAAAACCCACCCCGCCATGATGGATTCAACTTATAAAACACAACAGGTTTAGAAACAAAAACATAAAACCGAATCCACAAAAAATACATAAAAAAACCGTCACAAAAAATATCAACAGGTAAAATATCTAAATATAAACAAATGGCGACAATACAACATTGTATTTTTTGCCTGAGCCTCTCAGACAGCGTCTAATCTTTTCCAGGGGGACATGAGTAGTAATCCCGTTTCCCACTGTTGGCGCTAACATGATGGGAAGCGTTAGCTGGTCTTTCTGTTTGGGCAATATGAGTCTTTTGGCCAATAGAGAGAAAAAAGCTATCATGTGTCCAAAGAGGCATCCGCAGTGATCACTCCAAACAAAGCAGTCAAAGGGCATGGACACACCGCCACCCCACAGATTGCTGAAAGCGTACCAAAATTAAAACTCCATGTCCAGAGCATGTGGAACAGTGTGGCAGGAGACGTTCGCATGCCAGGTTCTGGTTTAATCCCAGACAATCTGTCTTTGGACCAATGGTGTCTCACATATCAAGGATTTAAGAAGGTTCCTCAGAATCTTGTGCCAGACCAGATCAGACAATCCATCACCCATTTGCCTTTTTAAACAACATACAAACTGATGGTGTGTGTTCAGCAGGGTACAAAATGTGCTCAGAACTTTCTTAGAAGTTGTCCAGCTGTCCAAGATCTCATCAAGAAGAGTCTGAGACGAACACGGGTAAACATTCAGAGATAGATTTAAGAGGGAGCTGAGGGTGATGAAGACTGAATTGCAGAAGACCCCAGTGGGATCACTGACAGAGGTCTGGATGCCCAGTTGCCTGCGTGAGTTGGAATGTTAAATCCCTTAATAGTCCTTTAAAATACAAGAAGGTTGTGACACATTTAAAGCGGCTTCATTCATATATTGCTTTTCTGCAGGAAACGCATATACAGTTCCTGACAAAAGTCTTGTAGCTTGTGTATGTTGTAGAAACTCCTGCTATTGACCTGATGCAGGGGACTGTTCTGTTCTGGTCCTGCTGGACCTGACTGCAGCCTTTGACACTGTCGACCATCACCTGCTACTGGAGAGGCTGAGAGACTGGGTCGGCCTATCAGGATCTGCTCTGGAGTGGTTCTCCTCTTATCTTTCTGAGCGCTCCTTTTCTGTGGCTGTCTCCAAGTTTAGGTCCTCCACCATCTCCCTTACCCATGGTGTCCCACAAGGTTCTGTGCTGGGGCCTCTGCTTTTCCTCCTCTATCTGCTTCCTCTTCAGCACATCCTGAGCTCCTTCAAAGGAAACTCCTACCTTCTTTATGCAGATGACATCCAACTGTACATCTCCTTTAAGCCCCATGAGATGTCTAAGCTGCAGCTGTTACACACCTGCTTAGACTCTATCAAAATCTGGATGGCTGGGAGCTTTCTTCAGCTGAATGAAGATAAGACTGAGATCCTCATCTGTTCCCCAGACAAGCTGGTTCCCAAAGTCAGAGACTCTCTTGGTCAGCTTGCTTCTCACACCAAACCTTCTGTCAGGAATCTTGGCGTGACCTTTGACCCAGCTCTCACCCTGGATTCTCATGTCAGTTCTCTTGTTCGCTCTTCCTTCTTCCATCTCAGGAACATTGCTAAGCTGAGTCCCATTCTGTCCCGCTCTGAACTTGAGACAGTTCTCCACACCTTCATCTCCTCACGCTTAGACTACTGTAACTCTCTTTTCACGTGTCTGAGCAGAACTTCCCTGAAAGTTTACAGGTGGTTCAGAACGCCTGTGCTCGGCTTCTGACCAAGTCCTCCAAACACACCCACATCACCCCGCTTCTCCTCCAGCTTCACTGGCTGCCAGTCAACTTCAGGGTTCATTTCAAGATCCTGGTTCTGGTCTATAGGGCCTTACATGGACAAGCACCATCTTACATTGGTGATCTTCTTAGTCCCTACACCCCCAGCAGGTCCCTGAGGTCCAGTGATCAAAGCCTACTGGTTGTGCAGCACCAGGCTAAAGACCAAAGGTGACAGATCATTTGCTGCTGTGGCCCCCAGACTCTGGGCCTCTCTCCCCCTGAGCCTGAGATCAGTGGACTCAGTGGTCTCCTTTCAAAAGCAGCTGAAGACTCACTTGTTCAAGCTGGCTTTTGTATGACCTTCTTCACCTCTCTCTCTTTATTCTGCTCTCCCCACCTATTCCACCTTCCTCAGGATCCGCTGATTTCCCTCTTTCCTGTTCACTCTCTCTCTTTCTTAACATTTTTTAAATCACAATTGTCTATTTTGTGCTGCACAGTGGTTAGAGCTGTTGCCTTGCAGCAAGAAGGTCCTGGGTTTGCTTCCCGGCCTGGGGTCTTTCTGCGTGGAGTTTGCATGTTTTCCCTGTGCATGCGTGGGTTCTCTCCTGTTACTCCGGCTTCCTCCCACAGTCCAAAAACATGACTGTTAGGTTGATTGGTCTGTCTAAATTGTCCTTAGGTGTGTGTGTGTGTGTGGATGATTGTTTGTTCTGTGTGTCTCTGTGTTGCCCTGCGATGGACTGGCTGTCTGTCCATGGTGTACCCCGCCTGATTGCCCTTTGACCGCTGGACAAAAAGGGTTCAGAAAATGGATGGATGGATGGAAATGTCTATTTTTTGATCATTTAAAATATATTTTTAACCATTTTCTAAATTCTTTTTTATATTTTTACATTTTTTGTTTTTGTGAAGCGCCTCGTGATTTTTATCTTGAGAGGCGCTATAGAAATAATCTTTTCTTCTGACTTTTACGGTTTCTCAATTGTTTACACACATTTTCTGAAAGCATGCCTCATATTCTCAGGACTCTACACACAAATCCAAAAATACACACACAATGGGCAAAACCCCTCAATTAATCTGCTAAATGAAACTTCACATTCAAAACAATGTTATTTCTCCTCCCAATGTGATTTTGTTGTCAAATGACACACAAACCATCATATGAATGGACATTTATAAGAACCAGGAGAACACTTCTGTGCTCAATGTAAAACACTATGATGAATGGAAAACACTTCTTCATTCATCATGACTTAAGCCTTTTTGGTTCAGTGTTACACTTACTACAGACAGTATATACATACATGTGTTGTAAAATATTTCAGAATATTGCTTTTACACTCTGAACACACAAATAAATGGTTAAAATTATTTTACTTTTCCCGCAAAACATTGCACACAATGTATGTCCCATTCCCAACCAACACAAAGTTGCAGGGGCGGATTTAGCAATTTGGGGGCCTAACGCAAGCAAAGACATGAGGCCCTCCACAGCTGTTGTTCTGATTTTTTTTTAAATTCTTACTACAAAAAGGTTGTATAACTTCTTCACTGGTCCAGTCTTGGATGGCACTGATGTCAAGAATCTCTGGAACTGCATCTGAATGGAAAAAATAATGTGTTTAACAAATATATTTAACATGAAATCATTTGATTAGTACAAAAATGATATTCATGTTTGTACTGATTTATTGGCCACCCACTTATTCTCTTCTTTCTCATTTTCTCGGGTGAAACACCTCTATCTCGTGCCTTAGTTGGTCTGCTTTCACTAAAGGAAGCAATAAAACATAAGACAAAATGGTTAAATATGGAGATACAGAAAAAAATTACATAACCATGTCAAAGTTACCATTTTCTACCTTTGCTTTTATTTTCCTTCCCTCTCTCTCTTCTAATTCTTGCCCTTGAATGCTTTGTTTCTTTCTCTCCTCCTCCTCTGCTCCTTTAATCATCTTGCTTCTCTCCTTTCCCTGTTTCTTGAGCTTTGTAGATTGTTTGTTTCTTTCTCTTCTCCTCCTGCATCACCACAACTTGAGCTTCCAGCAACAGACTCCTCCACTTCGCTAAAAGTGTTAGCATTGCTAGCTCTAATGCTAGTGGCAGCTTCTGGTTCATTTGCCGCATTAAATTAGCGACTTTCATTGGTGTTCCTCTGCTGTAGCACCGTAAAAAAATCTGACCTTTGGCTGGGTTGACACAAACTTTTTGCTTTCTTCCTGCTTCTTACGTTTCTCAGACCCACTTGGATAACTTTGCTTCATTTTCTTCTCAGACAACAAACGTCCTCTTCTATTCTTCGCTTCCGCAGCTCCGCTGATACGTAGCACGTTGTGGATGGAATAGTCCATTGTAGCTGGGCAACGGGGGACACTAAAACACTTTCACAGAAAGCAGTCTCATGCCAATTCATTACAATGCTTTTTACAATGACAGGGTTCACTCGTTTCAGAGCGAAAAATACCTTAAACATATTAGTTAAGTGTTCATCATGGGGCCCTTAACGTTTTTGAGGCCCAAGGCAATCGCCTACCTTTGCCTAATGGTAACACCGCCTCTGCAAAGTTGCACACATAAACTACATACAACAGAAGAATTTACTGTATACAGTTACAGTAAAACAATAAAACTATGCTGCTCCTCTCTTCTGTTGTGGTCTGGCCACAGCGCTTCATCCACATCACAAGCAATGTTTTCCCTGGCCAAGCAGCGAGGGAAATATCTCCCAGCATGGCAATTTCCAGCCATGAAAAGAATCAGCTGCTATATCTCCACATGCGTCCTCCATAGCTTGGAGAAGAGGTATACGCGTTTGTGGCTGTCAGTCATACACCTTCCATCTCCAGGCAGAAAAAAATTCCTCAATGGGATTGAGGAATGGAGAATATGGAGGGAGATAAAACAACTAAAGA